GTCGACCCACGCTAGCCCTAGGATTATTCTTGTGTCTTGCCCGCCATATACCTGTTTGCCACTGTTTCGACCCTGCCTGTGTTTCTGACCTCCTCTGCTTTAAATAAAGCTTTGCTTATGGATCCGCACGTCTCACGTCTTGTCAGCCCCGTTACACATGCAACGTTCCTTTGGATTACGTAAAGACAGTATAGTTGTTTGGAATATGCTAACATCAAACTTTATTGAAATCAATTGTGAGTTGATTTCTCATCAAGCATTATTTGTATAAAGCACTAATGTATGAGTTACTTCCCATGTCCAAATCGGTCAGATACGTGTGTCTATTTTTAATGAAGAAGTCTGTAGATATTGAGGCAACTCATAAGATTTTGGAACAGAACCTCAATCTGAAAGCCAGACTGCCAAACTAACCAACCAGAGATTGTGTTTAGTGTAGGTAACGTCTGCCAGTTCAGTGATACATAAACTCAAGCGGGACACGGACGTCCTGAATAAATCTTGTGTCCTCAGATGTCCAGAAGCTTTTTTATAGTCAGTAAAATGTGATAATGGTACAGGTCTTCAATGACTGACCTTAAAACAGTCCGTCCACTGACCTTCTGTGGAGAGAGAAAGATGGAAATCTCTCAGATTGTGGGGGAAGGTGGAAAGGAACGTAGTTTTTGCAAGTTAATGCATTTGTTTGTGTGTGTGTGCGTGTGTGTGTGTGCGTGCGTGTGTGTGTGTGTGTGTGTGTGTTATACATTAAAAGAAATAGTAAAGGTGGGAGACAAGATTAAAGGAAGGATTAAAAGTGACCTTGAAGTGTCACAGAGGTGAAAAAGGCAGACAAGAAAGTTGTGTCTCTCCAGAGGTCTGTGTTTTAATAGTGTTTCCCTGTTCATGCTCTATCTGATACTCCATTGGGTGATCTGGTTGTGTCGCCCTCGAGATCTGGAGCCTCTTGAACAGACTTAAAAGTCTGATGGTGACGAAACCTTTGTTCCAAACACAAGTGAACAACACAATACTAAAATATGTAACATAAAACTATCTATATCTATATACATTATGTAAATTAATGTTGAATGCACAATTTAATATATATAATATATATATATATATATAATGACAGAGCTATAGAGTCTGGCTTAGATGTCTTTCTTCACGAAAACCCCTTAGGCTGAAGTTTATCTGCTCTGCAAAAGTCAAACATTCATGATGAGTCATCGGCACACCAGTAGGAGCCGCTAATGAACAGGAAGCCTAGTGTGTGATACCATTGGTGGTACAACACAAACTGTATGTGTGTCAGACAAAATATGACAGTGAATGAGCATCGAATAGAATGATATTTGCATTCAAAGCTCGCCTTCAGCCAGACCCTGTGTAAATATGCAAATGCAGTCATGAATGCTTGGCCAATGCACTGCATGCGCACAATCCTGTTGTACATAACGTCGTGCTTAACATGCGCTCTTGTGTTATTGTCATGGTGACGAACCTCAGCACACAAGGGGACAATAGAGTTTCCTTCAAATGTCTGTGACTTTAAAACAAATGTGGTGTTATTCATGCAGCTAGAATGTTTATAAGATCTAACCTAACTTTAAACTGTTGCTCTGACCTGTAGGTTGCGATGCATGTCTGCTAATGTCTGTTTTATTTTATTTATTTTATTATTTTATTTTTCTCAATACCAATTCGATAGCCAGAACTAAAATGCTTCTGAACACACTCCTTTATTTTAGAAGTTATGTTTTATTCATATAATTGTTATTATTATTAATAATAATAATAATTTTCATTAATATAAATTAAAAAGTATTATGATTTAAACAATGACATGGAGCCTTTAATTATTTCTCAATTAAATAAACACAGCTTCAGTGTTTAAGTCATTACTTAAGACAACTAAATGATCAATATTAAAGTAGTAATGACTTCCTACCATAGTACAAATTTATATAAATTTGTATTTGACGTCCCTGCTATTTCCCCTTGTGGCAGTGGCACGTTTTGATTTTTTTTTTGGTAACACAGCGACCCATGAATTTGAGTTTGCCAATCTAGAATCATCTGTGTCCATCCATATATTTGCACAGAATTTGTTTTGGGCCACAATGTTCATTATACCCACATAGATTGATTTGGACCTGAATAAAATGCCTTCAAACTCCGTGAAAAAGTCCTCCAGTTTCTAAGAGTTGTTGTTGTTTTCTATGCACTTGTATTGAATTGTATCAAAATGGATGCAAAATGCCATAGAAATATCATTAATATAGTCTATAGAAGTTTGTGTATCATATTGTGTTTCCCATGTGATACATTTATAAGAAGAACAGACCAAATTAATTAACAGAAAGTCTTGATATCCTCCCTCGCTCTTTTCGACATGAAGCAGAATCATGAATCAAACTAATTGAGTTCCACTCGCAGCACCATGTGACATATGACAAAAATATTGATGGTAAATTTAGACTTTTTGTCATAATTTTGACGTCATAATTTTGTTTTTTTTATCTCATAATTATTACTTATGTCGTAATTATCATTTAGTTTGTCAATTTTGACTCTAACAAATGTATTTTTATCTCATAATTTTAACTATCAATTTGGACGTTTTGTCATAATTATGACTTGTCATAATTTTGTCTGTTATCTCATAATTATGACTTATGTCATAATTTTGGCTTTTTATGTCATAATTATCATTTAGTATGTCAATTTTGACTCTCACAATTGTCTTTTTATCTCATAATTTTAACTGTCAATTTTGACTCTTTGTCATAATTATGACTTGTCATAATTTTGACAATTTATGTCATAACTATCAGTATATCAAATTCGACTGTCACAATTAGGACTTTTTATCTCATAATTTCTTCTTTTATCCCATAATTATATAGAATTTTGACTTTTTCTGTCGCAGTTATGACTTTTTATCTTAGGATTATAATATTGTCAGTTTATGAAAGCATGATTTTCATTGTGGTGAAATGGGCTTCCATATGTAAGTATGTTTAGGTTATCAAATATGTTTGTATTTCCCTTGTATTTGAAGTGGAATTGTATGTTTTTATCTTTTTCTTTCCATCACTTTTGCTCAGAGGTGTTTTGGCTGAAATTTCATCTGACGTGATCGAAAGTGACATGACTTACCCATTCAGTGTCTTCAGACAGCAATCATGTCTTATATATATGTGTGTGTGTGTGTGTGTGTGTGTGTGTGTTTGTGTGTGTGTGTTTTTCTGCAGGCGGTTGGTGGATACAGAAGATGAGCTCAGTGACATCCAGTCCGACTCTGTTCCCTCAGAAGTGCGCGACTGGCTGGCGTCAACTTTCACACGTCAGATGGGGCTGATGTTGAGACGGTCGGAGGAGAAGCCACGGTTTCGCAGCATCGTGCATGCGGTGCAAGCAGGGATATTTGTGGAAAGGTGTGTGAGGGTTTTTCCAAAGCTAAGGGTATCAAGTAAACACATTTAAACCCTGTAGGCACCCCACGGGTAATAGATGGAAACCTTCAAAGAACTGATAAAGAACTGATAAAGAGCTGATACATTTTAAGCAGAGCCTGACTCATAGATTGATCAGGACTGACCTGTGACCTTGCTGTGCAGTTCCTGTCTTGTCTCATACTTCCAGCACTGCATGCTCCTAAAATATTAATGTTAAAGGGCATCTGGAGTGAAACAAGGGATTTCCCCTCTTTTTTTTATTTCCCAGAAGCTCTCACACACTGACAGGAGTGTGTTATCTCTTTCTGACAGGATGTACCGACGGACCTCCAACATGGTGGGGCTGAGCTATCCGCCCAGCGTGATCACGGCCTTGAAGGTAATGGAATGGGCCAATCAGATTCTAGGTCGTGACCTCAAATGCACATATGCACAAACACATGCACAACCTAGTCATGGCATGAATGCGAAATGTGTGAATGGGACACATTTTGAATGCACAGTAGCTTATGTGAGAAACAACAAGGGGGAGATGGCAAAATCAGACCGTCTCCAAGCAAACTGCCCTGTTTAATCAACCGAAGTGCACAATTGATTTTTCCCTCAGCCAGCTTGGTTACCTGGCACACACTCACGGTTTAGATTTTTTGGGGGGATTTTTGTCTAATAGAATGCAGCATATGTGGACAACACAGATTTATTTTTAACACAAGCACACAAAACTTGATTTATTTAAATGTGGAAAGAATCTAAATTATGCACTGATGTGTGTAGAAAAACATTTGAACATTTTGGGGTCAGTTAAAAAAAAACGATTTGAAATAAATAAATATTTTTGTTCAGCAAAGACGCATTAACTTGATCAAAAGTGGCAGTAAAGACATTTATAATGTTACAAAAGATTTATTTTGAACTTTATGCATCAAAGAATCCTGAAAAAAAGGTATCACGGTTTCCACAAAGATATTAAGCAGCATAACGTCTTTCAACATTTATAATAATAAATGTTTCTTGAACAGCAAATCAGCATATCAGAATGATTTCTGAAGGATCATGTGACTCTGAAGACTGGAGTAATGATGCTGAAAATTCAGCTTTGCATCACTGGAATACATTACAGTTTAAAATCAAATCAAATAGAAAGCAGGTATTTTAAAGGGTTAGTTCACCCAAAAATCCCGAGGCAAAAATCCCCGAGGCATCCTAGGTGTATATGACTTTCTTCTTTCAGACGAATCCAGTCGGAGTTATATTAAAAATTGTCTTTGATCTTTCAAGCTGTTTCATGCCACTCAACGGGTGTTGCATTGCTTCAGTCCAAAAGAACTTAAATGAAAATCGCCCATCCATAAAATCCGTTTTTGTTAGAAAAATATCCATATTCAAAACGTAATAATCACTTTAATGTAGCTTGCGCCAACAGTTGTACACGGAAGCAGCTCCGGGCGGATGACGTATGAGGTCAGCGCTGCGCATGCGCCGGTGAGTCTCGTGAAAACCAACGTTTGTTTTTAGGAGCAAAGGAAGCAAAGTTTCCTTATTTTAGCAAAGGAAAACCAGTCTCCTCTTGGCTTATATCGAAATCCTCTGACATTCTTCTTTACAAATCCTCATTTTGTAATTCTTGACCGTTGTTTTGTTTTGATCTCTCCGCTGTGTTTCCACGTTCGTCACTTCTGAGCAGTGCATGTGCAAAGCCAACCTCATACGTCATCCGCCCGAAGGTGCTTCCATGTACAACAGTGAGCGCAAGCTAGATTCAAGTGATTATTAAGTTTTGAATATGGATAATTTTCATACAAAAATGCATCAATTCACTACAGAAGGCCTTTGTTCACCCCCCGGAGCCGTGTGAGACACTTTTTTTTATGGATGGGCGATTTTTATTTAAGTTATTTTGGACTGAAGCAATGCAACACCCGCTGAGTGGCATGAAACAGCTTGAAAGATCAAAGACCATTTTTTTATATAACTCCGACTGGATTCGTCTGAAAGAAGAAAGTCCTATACACCTAGGATGCCTCGGGGGTGAGTAAAATGCAGCCTAATTTCATTTTTGGGTGAACTAACCCTTTAAATTGAAATAACTTTTCACAATATTGCCATTTTTACTGTTTTTGATTAAATAAATTTATCTTTTGTGAGCATGAGATTCTGTCCAAACATAAAAAAAAACTACCAACCTCGAAACTTTTGAATGCTAGTATATTAGCCAAATGCAAAATATGCTGATTTTAATCCTTTTCTCTGCATGAAATTATAGTCCAAGTTATTACATCTAGCTATCTGCTGTGATTCTATCAAGAATGCCATTTCAGAGCTGTTATCAGCCGCATCTGTTCTCCTATCAGCTTCTAATTCATTTTTGATTTCAACAATTTGTGGCAGGATGGCTTAGAGTTACTCCCTTTTGTCATTTCAGTCATAAATTTACAATCTTTTAAAGAGATTATTTTGTTCTGTGGCCTATTGTGATTCTAAACTTCTCGCTGTCTGCATTAAAAGGGATTGTCAAAGATGTACTTGGAAGGCTGTGTTTCGAATATCATATCATATGCACACTCTTACTAACCAAATGAGCAATGTGTTCAGTATGTTCACTTCAGATGTAAAAGTGAAAAAAAATGAAATTTTGAAATAAAATTAAATGTTAAATAAAATTAAAACTTTACCAAAGCCTGTGTTGTGCTGAGCACTATGCATGTAAGCTAGGGTTAAACATCTATATATATATATATTTTCTGAGCATATGCTATTTGTAAACATCCAAACCCATTTAAATTCTGCATGCAACACAGCACAGAACCTTTCTTAAGGCTGGATCACAAAGGGCCAAGGTTCAAACTTTGGAAATGGAATTTTACCAAAGCCTGTGTTGTGCTGAGCACTATGCATGTAAGCTAGGGTTAAACATCTATATATATATATTTTCTGAGCATATGCTATTTGTAAACATCCAAACCCATTTAAATTCTGCATGCAACACAGCACAGAACCTTTCTCAAGGCTGGATCACAAAGGGCCAAGGTTCAAACTTTGGAAATGGAATCTCCTGCAGTCCCCTGTAACTTGTGTGCCCTTGAGTGAGTCAATTTGCTTCTCATTGCTTTATGTGCAGGTAAATGTATAAAGTAAGTGAGAAGGATAAGTAACAGAATACTAATACAGATGTTCAAACAATAGCAGTAATTTGCTGGCTCTGTCCACCTAATCTTAATAGAAAATGAAGTTAATACGCTGAAACTAATGAAGGTTTCATTTTATATAAAGAGTTTTTAATCCTCACAAGACCTCTTGCATTGTTCGGGCCTCATTTATAAAGATCAAAAATACAGTAAAACAGTAAAACTGAGATACATTATTACAGTTAAAAATAACTGTTTTCTATTTTACTGTTTTAAAATGTAAGTTATTCCAGTGATGCCCAAGCTGAATTTTCAGTTTATGCCTCACTTTTAGCATAGGATCAAATACACAGACTTTAGGATCAAATCTGATTGTAAGAGTGTTTTCTAAATGAGGCAGCAGGTCTGTATTGAATGTCCTGGTGGCTTTGCAGCAGGATTTTGGCCTCTCTCTCTTGATTTCACAGCAGTCAGAGAATCTGCATATATATCTCCACATACAGCCTTAAGCTATTGAAAGCTCTCAGTCGTGACTGAGACAGAGTGCAGGACAAATATTCCAATCTGAGGATGTGAATATTTAATGCAGCATTTTGCAAATGTCCATCGCAACCAACTAATCAAAAACCTACACAGAACTTTCTTTGAAAGTGATGAGATGAAATAACAGAGGGTCAAACTGAGAGTGGATGGAGGAGAGAGAGAGAAAATAGAGACCACATAAACCACAGGTGGCCATAACGTAGACCAAATCTCCTGTATTATTACTGATGTTCATTTCATGACTCAGGATTGAAATGTACAATGATAGAATCACACATTGTTCATCACAGTCCCTGTTTATTAGGGAGGTGAAAGTAATTTATACGTTATAAAAAAAGATATGAGGCTGGTATTACTACATTATGTAAAAGCAGCAATTTGTGAGGCTCCGGGACTGTGAACATCTTATCACATTTATAGGCATCATAAAATAAAGTCTCAGTTGCTTTTTCATAGCTCAGAAGATACAAAGAGATCTTATTTGTGATTTTTCTTTTCTGTAGGAAGTTACGAAATATTATCCACAGTCATACTGTATACAATACTATGCAAAAGTAGAGTCAGAAAGCAATAACGCATTCAATTAATCAAAAAATTACAGTAAAGTTGTTACAGAATATTTCTATTTCAAATAAATGCTGTTCAATTTTGCCATCAAAGGAATAAATTACATTTTAAATTGTATTCAAATAGAAAACTATTATTTTAAACTGAAATATTTGCCAATATTAGTGTTTTACTATAATATTGGTCAAATAAATTCAGTCTTTTTGAGCATAAAATACTTAAAAAAACAAAAATTATGTTAAAAATATTCATAACTATATTGATAATAATGGTAAAGATGTCTTTTTTGTTGTTGGTCTAGCATGTGGACACATGGTCGTTTGACGTCTTCACACTGAATGATGCCAGCGGAGATCATGCACTGAAATTTATTTTTTATGAACTTCTCACCAGATATGACTTAATCAATCGCTTTAAGGTAAGATACGATTTTTTTTACCTCCCTTTCCTTTATCTGTGGATCTGAGTACATAATAATAGGAAAATCACATTTGGTCAGTTTTAAATTTGTTTTATTATTATTTATTTCATTTTCTGTTTGTTTATTTTTATTTCTATTGAATTTCATTTTATTACAATTATTGTTATTATTATTATTAAGATTTTTTAAACACTCTTTTTTTTTTATCCATTTTCCCCTTGGTAACCACAGTTTGAAAACCCCTGCTTTATAGAACCTAGTCACTATTTATTAACTAATATGTTAACCTTGAGAAACCTATACTGCCAAATGTATTTTTATACTTACCAGCATTTACAAATTACACTTTTGAAATCACATTTACTACCTGTTTGGACTCAACCATCCATCATAATGACATTTGATAGCAAAGTCCAGATGATCATCCTCAGATGGCTGTTTGACACTGTATGTCTCCTCAGATCCCTGTTTCTGCTCTGGTGTCTTTTGTGGAGGCCTTGGAGGTGGGCTACAGCAAACACAGAAACCCTTACCACAACCTAATCCACGCCGCAGACGTCACCCAGACAGTGCATTACCTCCTGCTCAAGACCGGCATGGTTGTAAGTCCAGAGTTGCACCACCAGAAACCTACTTCGCAAAAAAAATCATGTCCTAGACCCTGTGAATTCAAACAACAGCCTTGCCTTTGGGGATTTGTGCATGTTTGTGTGTGCTTGGGTAGAATAATCATGTACATCGAGTCCCCTTGGTTGTTTATTATTGTTATTTCTTCTGAACTGAGCCGGTGAAGTATGTTTTATTAAGCCTGACACTGCACTTGAGGTATTTATTGAGGTTGGGGTTCTTGGAATGGAAGTAGGTGCAACGGTCCACTCTCGCTTCACGATGCTGCTCGTATACCAATCAATAGGAAGTTAATCTCCCTCGACGCCTCAAAACACGCTCCTGTCACTCCCGCCGTGGGCTCATGAATCTCTCTGTGATGTGTGGACATCACACTGGCATTCCGACTAATTATTTGCCCCCTAGCATTTACACCGCTGATGATTTCTTTTTGTCATTCTGGCACTTTGGTGATTTAGTGTTAATATAAAATATTGTTATATGCACAGAAGAATAAATGTGCAGAAGAATAATGAACTAATAAGATTTAATTTCCTTCATGCTTATCTTCAGTTTAGCGGAACGATATTATTTATTAAAGAATATATAATGGGGCTTTAAATTGTCTCATAAGGAAGTGTTTTTCATTGAATATGAAAAAGTGATTTTTTTTAGCAAATTTTTTGCTACTGTTCGTATGAAATTTCCATCTGTTGTTTTTCTAGTTTTCCTCACAGTCTTCATGTTAAAACAAACAACCAGTGTATTTAATTCATGAACAAATGACTCTTTTGGGCTGGTTCTTTTTAGTGAATCAAAAATATACTGGAGACCAGTTAAGTCTGATTCCTAAACGAATGACTCTTTTAAGATGGTTATTTTTAGTGAATGAGAAATATTTAAGGCGAGCAGTGTAGTCTAGCTTACTGGGTGAACGAAAATTTCCATCTGTTGTTTTTCTAGTTTTCCTCACAGTCTTCATGTTAAAACAAACATACACAGCCAGTGTATTTAATTCATGAACAAATGACTCTTTTGAGCTGGTTCTTTTTAGTGAATCAAAAATATACTGGAGACCAGTTAAGTCTGATTCCTAAACGAATGACTCTTTTAAGATGGTTATTTTTAGTGAATGAGAAATATTTAAGGCGAGCAGTGTAGTCTTGCTTTCCGGGTGAACGACGAGTTGGTTCTTTTTAGTGAATCAGGGTAACCAGTTCTTTTTAGTGAATGAAAAATATCCAGACTGATCAGTGTAGTCTGATTCCTGAACAAATGATTCTTAAGAGTCATCTCTTTTTAATGATCAAAAATATATACTGGGTGATCAGTGTAGTCTGATTTCTGAACAAATGACACTTTAGAGCCGGTTCTTTTTGGTGAATCAGATATATACAGGACGAGCAGTGGAGTCTGATTTCGACTCCTATGACTCGGTTCTTTCAATGAATAGTTAAAAAAGATGAGTTACTTGTTTGAATCGGTCTCAAATACTGTCCTCTATAATTTACAGCATTGGCAGAGAGAGACTTTCTTTCACATTGGATGGGTTAAATGCAGAGCACTAATTCCAAGTATGGGTCACCATACTTGGCCACATGTCACGTCACTTTCTTATTTGAACAAATGCCTGAAACTTGGTATTAAAAGGACTTCCTGTGTCTGTTTGCCTCTTTAAGAAGAATCGCTTTATGTTGGCACAATGGGCATTATAACTGCAATATACCCAAAAGAATCAGAATTGAACAGACTGTATCAAAGTGCTTCAGTGTAAATGGGATTTGTCTTGTTGCTACAGCATTTCTCTTGTTATCGCCCTTCTTCCAGCACTGGTTAACCGAGTTGGAGATCTTCGCTATGCTGTTCGCCGCTGTTGTGCATGATTACGAACATACCGGCACCACCAACAACTTCCACATACAGACCAGGTACTATTGCAGTTAAACACCATTGTCATTCAGTTCAGCAAACCGAATACATCAATGGCCTTTAACAGAACTAATGTGTGTTTTACAGATCCGACACAGCCATACTATACAATGACCGTGCTGTACAGGAAAACCACCATGTGAGCGCTGCATATCGTCTTCTGCAGGAAGACGATGAAATGAACATCCTCTACAATTTGTCGAAAGATGACTGGAGGTTAGAAACGTGGTGCAAATTAGCACAATAAGTAATCTTAAAAATTAACATTCAAGTTAGAAACTAAAATTGTTTTACAGCATAATTCTATAGGAGAACATTTTTTAGTCGCACAATGAGCATATTTGGTCGTTCTGGACTGGTGCTTTTATATCAAGAGTTTGCAAACGTTTTGATGCAACATTTCCCTAAATATGATCATCCCTTTGCATTTCACCCATTTCCTATCATATAAAGCTATATATTTTTATGTATAGTTTATACTGTGAAAAATAAAAAAAAATTATAAATAGGTGAAATATTTATTATATAAAAAAATAAATATTATAAAATAATATGAATATATAATAATAATAATAATGTATTATATACATAATGTATAATATTAAATATAGTTATATATTTAAATATATTAATTTTACGACAATAAAATATATTAAATGTGATAATATGTAAAATGTGTAAAATATTATCAGAAAAATATTTTGTTTTTATTACGTTGACACTGTGTGTATTTTTTTCTGCTCTCTTTTAGAGAACGTTTAGATGTATTAACCCAAAGAAAATAAAACTATGAATGTCAGTAGAGTAAAATAATTGTATTTAGTCTCATGATTTCTGGATGTCCAGTAGAAAACAAAATAAAGCAGACACATTCGACCAGTTTTAACACAATTTAACACACTTTAGTATTTGTTTTTGGGTAAGGTTTTTTTTATTGTTGTTGTTTTTATTTTTATTGTATTTATTTTTTATTTTTTACAGTTTAGACTATTTTCCTCTTTGCAACGGACCATCTGGTGACCCCAGTTTGAATAGTCCTGCTTTATAGAACCTAGTAATTAAGAACTAACTAATATGTTGTTAGTTATTAGTATTAGTATTACTAGTATGTTGTTTTGACTGAAATCGGATCTGTGCATACATATATATATATATATATATATATATATATAAGATATCTAATCTCTCAATCAATTGAAAAAGTCAATATACTACTATATGTAAACATTCTGTAAGGTTCAGAGCTCAAAATGCTGGTATTATACTCTATGAAGGTCACATTATGAAACTTTTTACTTTGTTTTCATCATTTGTTTTTGGTGCTTTTTAAATGTAAATTTACGAAAAAGACAACTGTGTCAGTGAAGGGAAATATAAGAAGCAAGCACTTGTGAGCAGAATATTTTTATTGTGTGTCATTTCCAAGCTGCATTCATGCACAAAATGTGTGAAAACATTATTTTGCATTACATAATTGTGCATTTTTAGGATACATACTGTACAATGATAGCTTGTGAAATTAGTTCTAGCAAGACAAAAATGTTTCTTTTCAGGGTTATCTATAAAGTTATACATAGACTATAGTAGTGCTATGGACAGATTCAGAGGAATAATGAGAATGCAGCTGAGCTGAACACCAGGGCTTTCAGTTATGGTGAAATTAACTGAAACCTAAACCAAAATCTTTATTTTGTCTGGATCGGTCAGTTACTATAGAGGTCATATCATAAGATATCTAATCTCTCAATCAATTGAAAAAGTCAATATACTACTATATGTAAACATTCTGTAAGGTTCAGAGCTCAAAATGCTGGTATTATACTCTATGAAGGTCACATTATGAAACTTTTTACTTTGTTTTCATCATTTGTTTTTGGTGCTTTTTAAATGTAAATTTATGAAAAAGACAACTGTGTCAGTGAAGGGAAATATAAGAAGCAAGCACTTGTGAGCAGAATATTTTTATTGTGTGTCATTTCCAAGCTGCAATCATGCACAAAAAGTGTGAAAACATTATTTTGCATTACATAATTGTGCATTTTTAGGATACATACTGTACAATGATAGCTTGTGAAATTAGTTCTAGCAAGACAAAAATTAAGAATTCATATCCTGAGAATGAATAAAAGTCAAAAGGGCTTGCCATACATGTCATGTCAAAGAGGTTCACAGATCAATCTGAATGAGTTATTATTAAATTCATCTGAATCAAAATTATTTTAAACAGCTGCTCAACTATGTAGGAACCCTTTGTTTTAAACTTGAATCTCTCTGTTAATAACCTGCTACTTTACTTCCACCATACACTTTTATGAGGTCATTATGTCAGTATGTGTGAACTACCAAACATGCCTGGGTGTCAGGTGAGTAATGTAGTATTTGTCCCAATGAACACACATCCCGTATCTAGTCATAAAAACGCTTGGTATCTTTCATCAGCTTGACAGCTAATGACATTGCACTTAAAAGTGTTGTACTTCCATATAATCTAAAGACAAACATTTTCTGGAAGCTAGGTATAAGCTCACTCTGTGTGTTCATGTTTGTGTTTGTGCAGTCTGAATAACATCCCGTCAGATGGTAAACGGTCTACTGTTAGAAGCACTGGTTCGGAGGGCGGCACTTCCCTGAACTGCTCCGTAAACGCTGTCGATTTTAAGACCTTCAAAAGCACCTGGAATGAGGAAGCGCATATAAACAGAGAAAAATGGAAAGCACAAGCCGCAAAAGGTATAAACGCATACATATACACACACACTTTCAACAAAAATCGAGATGTTGTGCTGTAAATTATTAGTAACGCTTGCTCCTGTTGCTCATACTAAGGGATAGGGAATTAAACAAACCCCTAACACTAAATATTAAAATCTGGCTTGTAACTTATGCTGAACATAAATAAATAGTGATTCACTGGTTGGACAATAGATCCGGGCCATATCTAAAGACCAGAAAATCATGAGAGTAAGGGCTCTTATGACTTGGGGCAGTAAGCAAAGCCATAGCAACTGCTGAAACACCCTAGCAACCACATAGAACACCTTATCAGTCGTATAGCAATACCCTGGCACTCATTTACAATGCCTTAGTATGCAAGGCCAAGCAGTACTCGTCTCTTCAGAAACTGTACAAATCTAGCTTCAAATATAATGTCGTTCAGAAATATAAACGAATTCATTATGAATAAAAGATTCAAGAGCTTGAGCTTAACAAACTTAAAAAATCGGTGGGGGATTCCACCGATACTGATTGCGTTCCAGGGGGTAAAATACATGTTTTTTTGGCAGGGTTCCCCTGGCATTCCAGGGGCTAAATATCACGTTGTTGGGGTCGTTTCAAGCCAACAGTGGCAACAGTGTTAAAGTATCCCAATTACACTGGAAAAACGCAGACCTGGCAACATTGCATCCTGTTTCTTTAATTTCTATTCATACTTATGCAAATGCAGGAGAACGGAAATGCAAAGATGTGGTAACTCTGACCTGTGAATTCAAATAGTGTTTGAGCAAAAGACTATCTAAATGTCACAGACTGAGAGACTTTTTTTTCCCCCAAGGAAATTAATACTTTTAGTCACCAAGGACTTATTAAATTGATCAAAATTTACAGTGGAGACATTTATAATGTTACAAAAGATTTATTTTTCAAATGAATGCTGTTGTTTTGAACTTTCTATTCATCGAGAATACTGAAAAAACTTGTTTCCACAAAAATATTAAGCAGAACAACTGCTTTCGACATTGATAGTATGAGGAAATATCAGCATATTAGAATGATTTCTGAAGGATCATGTGACACTGAAGACTGGAGTAATGATGCTGAAAATGCAGCTTTGCATCACAGGAATAAATTATATATTTAAATATATTAAAATAGAAAACAGTCATTTTAAATAGTAATAATATTTATCAATTTAGCTTGTTTTGATGTAAATTTGTGATCAAATAAATACGACCTTGCTAAGCATAAGAGACTTCTTTCTGAAACAATACAAATTCTTACCAAACCCTCAACTTCTGAACAATTAGTGTATCCAAAACATCATACAATAATTTTTTTAATTATCTGACCGCAGTTCACTGTTGTTCTACTGAAGCTCCTCGTCACCTGTATCTTTTCCGGGCTCGTTTGACTAGCGCCTGGTGCTGAGGTGAATTTGGAGCGTACGTCTGAAAAGTCTCCCGTTACATGTGGTCGTAAAAACGTTCTGCATATAAATAAATGCAATTCTTGTCAAGAAAAAAGAAACAGAGGCAGCTGTTTTGATTGGGGTGGCCAACCCAACTCCACCCCTGTGTTCATTGCATTAAATATTTTTAACGCATTAAACTGAAAAAATGTATCGCATGCTTTAACACACTAATTTTGACAGCACTTGTTTCAAGAAATTTTGCATGCTTGAAGTGACCTCATTTTCACAGTGCCAGCAATGAGGAACTGAATTTGTGTGTGTTAGATCTGGAAGAGAATGCCAAACAAGAAGAGAACGAGGAGAAAGATAATAAAACCGATACAGACACACAAAGCGGTGACAGCAAAGGCGATAATTCTAAAAAAGAAGACAAAATCAACACGGAAGACACAAGACAAGAGAAGGATTCAAAGACAGATCGAGAAGCTGCTGTCGATAACAAGGAGCCAACAGAGCAACAGCCCAGAGAGGAAGAGGGCAATAAAGACCCAGGGGGGGTAAATGGGGCTCAAACACCAGCGTCTGACGCCAAAGACCCCGAGACCAGCAGTGACACGGACAACAGTAAGCGAGCACACACCGGTGAGTGTCAAAGTTTTCAACAAATCTGTTGATTTTTTTTTTTATTAGATCATTTAAACTAATTTTACAGTTATATCCTGATATTTGGATATCATGTTCATATTTCTAACAAAATGCAGTGCCTTTTGTGTCTAACTTTTTTTCTAAACCTAAAGAACTGTACTGACCGATACTTGGTGAACTGGTTTACCTTATACATGATATAAACTAGTGGTTGACCAATATGGGTTTTGATAATTATTTTAATAATATTGTCATTATTATTATTGACAATATATCTGTCATACAGTATATATATATAATGTATAATGTCATAAAAAATGTGCGTGATGTAAACTAGTGGTTGACCAATATGGGTTTTGATAATGGCCAAAGCCAATAATGATATTTAGATACTGGCTGGTTGATAGCAGATTTAAAAAAAAATACATAAATAATTACAAATAATATTTTAAATATTTAATAATATTGTTTAT